CCCTCCGAGCCCTTCCTCACGCGCTACCTGCTGGAGCCGCACAAGAACCTCACGCAGAGCCAGGTACTGGACCCGCGCCCACATGCACCCACTATACGTGTGTGTGTGTGTGTGTGTATATACATGCTTTAATGTTTTTTCTTAAGTACCTTATTGACAGAGGGTTCGTGCTATCTCTTCCCTTTGCAGGTGTTCAATGAGATCTACCCAGTGTGGACCTATTCTTACCTGGTGTTGCTCTTCCCTGTGTTCCTGGCCACCGACTACCTCCGGTACAAGCCTGTGGTGCTGCTGCAGGGCCTGAGCTTCATTGTGACGTGGTTCATGCTGCTCTATGCCCAGGGGCTGCTGGCCATCCAGTTCCTCGAGTTCTTCTATGGTGTGGGCACTGCCACAGACATTGCCTACTACTCCTACATCTACAGCGTTGTGGACTTGAATTTGTACCAGAAGGTCACCAGTTACTGCCGGAGCGCCACGCTGGTGGGCTACACCGTGGGCTCGGTGTCTGGGCAGCTCCTGGTGTCGCTGGCAGGCTGGTCCCTCTTCAGCTTAAACGTTATCTCCCTGACCTGCGTGTCGATCGCCTTTGGTATGGCCTGGTTTCTGCCAATGCCCCAGAAGAGCCTTTTCTTCCACCATGTCTCACGTCAGCAGTGCAGCAGGGAGATGAAGGTCATAGACTGTAAAAATGGCTCTGCTGTCCAAGATTGTCCTGACATTCAGAGGACGCAGGGCTGGGAGGATGAGACAAAAATTCCCTTAAATGAGAAGGGGCAGTCATCACAGAAGCAGGTAAGCTGTGTCCTGGGTTGAAATAAGCAGAAGATGCAGTGCTTATGTGGCTGTCATATACATATATATGTATGTGTGCAAATATCCCTCATGCATATGAATATATATATATACACTTGTTGTGTATATGTGCACACATGCAACTATCGTGTGTACACAGATATGTTGGCAACTGTTGTGTGAGTTGTTCTATATGGCATGGAGCAACTGGGTTTTCTGGTACAATCGTGGAAGGAGCTGCTGCCTGCAGTGCTCCCTGAGAGCTAACACTGGTATGCTACAAGATGCACAGCGCTTGGATAAGTTGCAGGAAGCGTCCTCGCGTAATCGGCATTTAATGCAACCTACCAGAACACCCGTAGCGCTCTGCTGTTGTGGACTGTGTCTCTTGTGATTGAGTCACTGAGGGCACTTACATGTCCTGTTTGTTAGGGATACCCGACTGCTCACATGAAAACAAGCATAGAGGGGGCCCTGCTGCTCTTTGGTCCGGGGGAGGTTGTGCTGGTGTCGAGATTAGGGTGTAAAGTAGGTGCTTCTGCAGATATAACAACCTAGCAGGGAATTCAGTTAAACCAATCACTTGACTGAAAGACATGAGTTGGTGTCTCTTTTTTAAGACGAAAGCAAAGAACTACAGGCACGTAGGCGTGTAGTCTGCATGTGTCAGAGCTGTGGTTTGAATATCTGCGTGGGGAGGGCTTGTGCCTCCTCCGACTACAGCTGGGAATTAGAAGAATTAACATTCCTGGGAACTAATCTCTCCCCATCCAGCTCAGTTCTGTGAGATCCAGCTGTTGAGGCAGCAGGCAAAAGTACTGAATAATAATAAAAAGACACACTTTGCCTTTCAGTGGGAAGGAACAAGAATGTCCCAGAGAGGAGCCAAGTGTTTGTAGTGAATATTTCAACTGGTGAGTTTGACCCGAAGGCCTTTCCCTTTTGCCTTCTGCTTAGGGAGATCTCCCACAGTCCTTGTCCGAGCAGGGCTGTTTTCAGATGCTGGCCTCAATGCTCAGAGGACGCTCTCCTTACCAGTCCTTTCTGCTGCCAGCAGTGGGAACAGCATAGGCACTTTAGTGGTAGCTTTTAGGAGCTTCTGGAGATTTTCTGGTTTTACAGTAGGGATGGCTTTATTGAGGCAATTAAAAGCAGAGGTACCTTGAGCCGTGGTATGCTTAACATGTTGAAGGATGTTTGTTAAACAAGTAGGACTAAAACGCTTTAAGGCATCTAAAATTCTGTGTCAGTAATGACTAAGGGAGTAGTATCAATTATCTGTTCCTCTCTCTTTATTCTCACTCCTGAGAGGTAGGGTGGTTCCAAAGTAATGGTGAAAACTTTTAAATAAGTGTGAAATTGCTTAGTTTAGTTATACCAGCTGCTGAAAGCTGAGGAGCACTGACATGTGATCACAGTCCTGCTTTTACTACAGAAATGCAGTGTTAACCTCAATTAATGGCAGTATGAGTAATTGGACTGGAGAAATGTTTCCAGATGGTGGGAGGACAGGTAGGCTCCTTCTGGCTCATCAGGCACCTGCTTGTGTAGAGCTTGCTGAATCGTTTTTTCTGTTTGTTTGTTTGTTTTACAGCATATAAAGCAATTCCCTTCCCTGTTTTTTCCTGTGCCCAAACCTGTGCTTCGTACAAAACCTTCTGCTTGGGAGTTATGTTGCTAGTGTTCTGGCTGTGCCTTGAGCTGACCTCTTTCCTTGTGCTTCTGTCAGGCTTCAGGGAAAGGGCAAGTATCCTGGAGCAAGTACCCTGCCCACTGGCAAAGCACCAAAGGGGCTCTGTGATATTTAATAAGGATATGCTAAAATGAGTGGCGCTTTGAAGAATGCAGAAGAGTTCAGGATGCCCTAGGTTGAAATCTTGGTTGAAGGCTTTACTGGAGAGAACTTAAAATGAGACTTACTGCTTATGGAGAATGGTCTTTCCAAAGTACGCAATGCATGATTCCCGTGGGAAAAGTGCACATGGCCAAGAGCACAAGATCATTGCTGCTGTTGACTGGAGGCTGCTCGGAAACTGGATGTGCTATGGCACAATATGCAAAAATTCAGTTCTGTATCTGTGCTAAAAGTTTCCCTGCAGAAAAGTCAAGAGGAAAAGTTATTACAGATGCTTAGAGGGGCTCAGGAGCTCCGTGGAATCTTAAGTGAAGTTACTGCTGCCATGACTTCCATGGAAAGGGTATGCCTGTCTTCAAAGATTCTGTGTGTCCGTGTGTACTCTGATCATAATTAGCTGCTCTGGTTACAAAGGAAGAATTTACTAATTTTCTTTGCTGCTCTTCGTGTAAAGTGTCTAGGAATATCATTCTAACAGCTGTTGTGTATAAAGTGATTTTCATTTTCAGTGTAATTGCTGAACACTGGTACTAAGGAAAATTGACTTAATTTGAGAAAAATACTCATCTAGTTTCTTTCATACTAACTGCGCTATCACATTCAGCCAAATTTGGATTGGGACTTAACAAAAAGTGTCAGTGATGCTTTGGCCTTTATGAAGTGAAGCACTGGTTTCTGATCCTGTTTGCTCAAAAGGAAAGTGACCCATTCTCTTGTGTTTCTTCTCTTTAGTACCCTGCAGTTGCTCACAGAGTGCTTTCAACAACTAGCAATTATTGCTTTTTGCTTGAGAGAGCCAAATGGGTCATGATGAGCAAACTGACCCATTCCTTAACACAGAAGGGGGCTGTCCTGGTTTGGGTAGAGACCAGCTGCCAGGACAGTGTAACGAGGAAGCTCTTTATTCAGTGCTCTGTGGAGGTTTGTGAACACAAATGTCACTCACTAGAGATCAGATGACTTAAAATGAGCGATCTGGTAGGGCACTGTGAAGTTTGTATAAGCAGAGACTAACATTTTGCACCCTTCCCTCTTTCAACCCCTACAGGAGCAGAAAGTAGAGATCTCGAAGGTGCTCAGAGAGCTGTGGGAAGACTTCCTGCAGTGTTATTCCTCCCGACCCCTGCTCTGCTGGTCTGTGTGGTGGGCGCTGTCAACCTGCGGCTACTTCCAGGTCATTAACTATGCTCAGGGCCTTTGGGAGATGGTGCTGCCTTCCCACAGCTCAGAGATCTATAACGGTGCCGTGGAGGCGGTCTCGACGCTGCTAGGTAAGATTCGTGCCTACTGCTTTGCTGTGTGACCTCTGAGAAATGCCTTGTGCCCCTCAAAGCCACAGTTCAGAAGTATCCTACATTTCCCAGTATACACAGCAGAGGAAATCTCTAGTCTAGAACAGGACTAAGTGGTGCTCCTTTGGGGTGAGTCTAAAGGAAACTGACAAATCAATCTTCTCTCTGAAATACTTGGCAGAAGGGTCTGGATACGTGGCTGATTGTATATTCTTGGGTGTTAATGTGGCTACTGTCCTAACACAGCAGGCACTAGGCCTATTTTGATAGCTCATAGTCACAGTGAGGGTCCTACACATTTATTGTGTTTTTTTTTTTTGATGGGGGAGGGCGGAGGGAATTGGTTGATTTGTTCCCCTTCTCTTGAAGTGCAGATTTGAGTTTCCTGTGTATGCTAAGCATGCAGTGAGCCACCATGCAGTCATTTCAGTTGTTAAGCAGAAATACTCCTGAGATGAAGGAGGTCACTTGACTTCAAAGGGCCAGGTAGGTCAGTTAACACAAACATAGAATCACAGAATGTTTAAGGTTGGAAGGGACCTCTAGAGATCATCTAGTCCAACCTCCCTGCACACACAGGGTCACCTAGAGCACGTGGCACAGGATTTTGCTTATTGTTTAATGCTATTCCATTATCAGAATGAGGACAATACTTCTCTAATACTGCTAACATAACCTTCCAGAGGTTCCTTAGGTGGTGCTGCAGTATGTTGCTTTGTGGGATCGTTCTACCATCTGCTGGAGGCATCTTTTTGCAGGGGGAGAGGCCAACAGAAGCAAAGGTTTGCAAATGGAGGAGGCCTCTGCTTGCTTAGATGTGCTCAGCTGGAGGTCCCTGGGAGCTCTGGCAACTTTATAGGTCTGGAAACTGGTTTAGCACCAGTTGTTAGTTTGGCTTGAAACCCTTGGGGACTTGATTCTTAAGCCTTTGACTGTTAAACTGTCTTCAGCACACTGAGCTTGATTAGTTAGCTTACTGTTGTATTTTGTTGCTCAGCTCTCCCGTGATGTTGTGGCTTTTACTTCTTGCTGGATTTGGTTTCCTCTGCCAAATCATGCTTTGCTCCCAGAAAGAAGAATGAGTACTGAGGGAAAGAAGCATCTAGTCAGCATCTGTGCCCAGTAACTGCAATTCATTGTTAACGAGAAAGTCCTACTTATTGGGATGGGAGCCTGCTTTGTAAAATGATACGTTCACAGAAGGAAGCTGGCAGTTTCTGAAAAAATTTTACCAAGCATCTAAAAATCAATTATGTTACAGGATTGTAGCTGGGCCAGATGTAGGTAGGTTTTTCTTTTTTTTTTTCTTTTTTTTTTTTTTATAGAAAACAAACAGCAAAATGATCATTCCTCAAGCTTTATTACCTGTCTTTTGTGTTATGGCCCTTTTCTAAAGCTTGTGGACAGTGGACCACAAAAGGTGGTTGGCGCTATATTCAGGCAAAACTGAGGCACTTTTTTTTTTTTCTTTCCAATCTTGATGGTTTTCTCCAGCATCATTTCTGTAAATGGCTGAATCATCTCGGGTGATGTCTTCTGAAAGCAGATTAACATCTGTCCCTGAACTGCTCAAAAAACAGAACCAGAAAATCTTTCCATTAGGTCCAGACAAGTGAAGTTTAGTAAAATAATCTCAACTAAAATCCTGAAAACTGTAACAGGACTGGAAGGAGCCTGTTACGGATAGAGATCCAGTGACCTGACTTCTTACACACTAGAGCAAATGCTCTAGCTTCTTCCACTTGTCAGCCTAATTTTATTCATAACCAGTTTGTTTATCTTTTGATCTCATGCCAAGGTTTTATTTTTTTGTGCTGAATTCTCCTTCATAGCTTCTCTGTAGGAAGCTTTTCTTTGCTGTGGGCTGAAGAAGCCAAGGTCTTCTACTCTTGAACTGCGGTCAATATTTTCAAATGAGGCCTCAGACTTGTAGGGCAGCATCTCTCCTCACTTCTTTCCCTTTATGGGAAATACCCTTCCTGGTGCGTCCCAAGTCTCATTTGCCATTTTCACACCTCGTAATTATTCTGCGGTCAGAGATGAGCAGCATTTGGTAATGTTCATACAAGATGCTGTTGCCAGACCTACTGACTCATGTGGCTGTCAGCTTCCTGTCACAGCATAGCTGAGGCTGGAAGAGAACTCTGGAGATCATCTGTTCCAGGCCCTCTGCTCAAGAAGGGTCAGTTAGAGCAAGTTGCCCAAGACCGCATCCAGTTGGGTTTTCAATACCTCCAAGGCTGTTGACACAGCCTCTCTGGTCAGCCTGTTCCAATGTTCAGCTACCCTCGCAGAGAAGTGTTTGCTTATGTTCAGATGGTTCTGGGCAAGATAAATACTCCTCTTTCTGGTGAGGCAGATGAACTGTGTAGAAGAATCCCTGCAGCTTATTGCAATGCTTCACTTTTTAAGTCTGAGCTGTGAAACCGCTGAACTGGTTCTGTATACCTGATTGCAAAGTTCAGATTGTATATGTTTTCACAAATAGGTACTGGGCTGGTGTAGCCCTGAAGCGCAGGAGGAGTCCAGCTTCATGATTTGGCACTAAAACTCAAAAAGTGAGGCGACCAATGCTTTTCTTCCAAAACTGAGCTGCTTGAATAGGGGAAAGGAGTTTCTAGGCACTTAGCTTCCTTCTGCACCTCAGGATTTTGCTACTAGGGAAGCCAGTCTTTCAAAGTGGAAAATGCCAGTTGGGTAATGTCACAGCAGGCCCTGGAAAGGTCTGTTTAGGATGGAAAATGGTCCTTCTCCTTGGCACAGCCGCTGCCTTTGTTAGTCTGCAAGATTGATGTGAGGGCTGTCAGGGTGGAGAGCTTGTATGCGCAGATGGTGCATAAGGAGCCTTCGTGTGCCTGAAAGATGGCTAAGACAGGCCAGCCGAGGGGAACCGAGCGCATAGATGCAGCACTGTAGGGCTTCTGTACCCTGGGCAGATGCTTAATACAATTGTGTTTTTTAGAGATCTCCAGTAAACCTCCCTTTGTCAGTATGCTGTTTGTGTGCTATCTTTCTGCCCACCTCCCCATCTCCCGCTTTGTTTCTTCTTTAGTTGTAAAGGGTGGCTCATGTACAATCAACAGTGAAAGAAGTGGTGTTTCTTTTTTTTTTTTTTTTTTTTTTTTGTTGCTTGTTTTGTTTTTCCAGCCCCAGCGGCTTGTGGCCAGGGTACTTCCTAGGAGCTGAAGGTCTGAACTCCTGTAGTCTGGTACAACTCACTCACTCACTGAGTCTGAACTCACTCCTGTAGCTTGGTACAAAGATGACACTACAGTCAGGCTTTCTGGGTGAAAGCTCTAACATCTGTGTGTCAAAGTAGACATCTTTCTTACCCCTCCTCAGCTCCTCCAGTGAATGTAGACCCTGAAATACCACAAAATCATTAGCTAAGTGATTTTTTTATCAGATGTTTGTATTTCTCTGTAGTCCAACTGACTGTATTTTTACAGTCAAATGCAGAAGACCGCTGAGCAGCAGCCTATGGGAGTCATAGCATTTTATAAGCACTACAGGGAGGAGATTTCAGAAGCAGGTGGCATTGAGTTTTTTTTTCTTTCCTTCCTTTCCCATAAAAGTGAGTGGGAGTTCACAGTCAGTTTCCAGGTGAGGAAGGAGAACCTCTGAGGTGCAGACATCAGTGTCCTCCACTTCACTCTGGATCAGCTGTTTGATTCTGCACAGATCCTAATCCACAATCTCCAAATCCTTTTGAACAACTAACAGTTATGTTTTCTTTTCTCCTTGCAGGAGCTGTCACAGTGGTTGTTGTGGGTCATATAAAAACATCCTGGGCAACGTGGGGTGAGGTGGCACTTGCCCTGTTCTCCTTTCTTATTGCTGCTGCTGTGTATATCATGGACACTGTTCATAACATCTGGGTATGCTATGCATCATACGTTGTCTTCAGAATTATCTACATGCTGCTGATCACAATAGCAACGTGAGTACTTTTACAGTGAGTAATTCAAATGACTTTCAAAACCGTAGCAGTTGGCATTTTCTCCATGTAGATAAGGTTTTGCCCACCAGGAATCTGGAAATATGTTACGAGGAGGGCTCAGCTGCTGTGATTCAGGTTGGAAACTCGGACATGGAAAGGTTTTTCTGCTGGCTATCTGCCCAAGGTCAAAAGTCTCGTGATGCTGAAATAACCGTCTCTTAAGCACTAAATAGCACTCCCTGCCAGGGAAGTGTTTCTTTGTAAACATGCCTTGAGTGAAGTGTTAGCTGATGAGGACAAGGTGAGAGTGAGTTGTTTTTCCCTAAACTCTAAGGAAGAAATCTTCATCTTAAATGTCAATTTGGGAAGGAAAGCACAGCTGTTGTCCAGCCACACATGCAATTGCTACATGATAGTTCACGTATGGATGTAAGGGGAGATGCTGAAACTTGTGATTGTGCAGGGGGTTCTAGTCAGAAGGAAGTGCGAAGTTATGAACCATGGGATGGCTTTAAGAATGCAAACAGTTCCCTGGGATCTGCACTGAGCCACCATGTAGCTATGTCAGTTGGCCCTTTGCAGCTGCAGCTGTTTCAGTAAGACTGCAACCCACCAAGTTTTTACAGTCTTTTATGGGTACCTGTGGCTTTCTTCTAGTCCCTGTGGTAGTCTGCTGTGGTCCTGCTTGGCAAAGTATGCTGTCAGTGTGAGGTAGTCTCATTGTGAGAAATACTGGGGTAGTGCAGGCAACTGTCCGCATGCCTATCCTTCTCATCTGATGCCATCTCCAGAGAAGTTCCTCCTACTCCTGTATTTCTCTGCTTCTTTTTCATGTGTATTTTTCTGGTCCTCCCTTTCCAGGTTCCAGATTGCCACAAATCTTAGTGTGGAGCGGTATGCCCTGGTGTTTGGAGTCAACACTTTTATTGCCTTAGCACTTCAGACCCTGCTCACACTGATTGTCGTGGATGCCAGTGGACTCGGGTTAGACATCTTCACTCAGGTATGGTAGCCTCTTTATCTTTACCAAGGGGAGGGAGGGAAGAAAGTCAATCAAGTTATAAGGCTTCTCACCTACTTGTTTCTGAGTCAAGGCTTTGCTGGCAGAGAGGGGTTTACTGACTTGTGATATTTTAGAAGAAGAAAGAAAGTTTGTGTGTTAACCCTATTAACAGATTTAGTATGTTTTGTTCAGCCATTCTCATTTTTGTGTCCTCTGGAGAAATCAGAGATGGATACTCAGCTTGCATTACCAACTGCAGGACTTGATTTGTAGCCATGATATGTGAGGAGTTTTATTCAACTGTCATATCTAACTGCCATTATCCTGTAGGCATGTGCGAGATCCATGGATTTAGAAACTGAACTGTTACCTAACATCAGTAATCACTGCTGGTGAACTTGATAATACAGGCAGGCAGTAAACTGCGAGCAGCATTTCAGTCAGAAGTCCCGTAACTTGTTGGGGGGTTGTCTGTTTTCCTCCATATGAGGATGGCTGTAACGAGTAGAGACGTTTTTAGTTTCTAACTGCAGATTTTCTTGTTTGTTTGTCTGTCTGTCTTTACTCTGCAGTTCATGATTTATGCCTCTTACTTTGCGGCCATCTCTCTGCTGTTCCTGGGGAGTGGTATCTACAGTATTATAAGGACTTACAGAAGACGAGAGCAGGTTCAAAGCAGATCTCCTGAAAACCATTAGTGCACCGAGGGAATGCTCTCTGCAACTCTATATGAAGTGATAGGTTTGCTTTTTAATCTCTGCCTTTACTTCCCAAGGCAGTCACCTTACTGTATTTGTTCCATATTTATACTATATTAGTATCACATTTTAGAATGTATATGTATTAGCTCTTACGTAAGTAAGAACAAATATCTTCTTTCTAAAATGCCTTTTGTTCTTCTGTTGCATGTATGGGAAGCGCAGCAGAGAACTTTAAACCATTTCAAAAGGTGAAAGGCTTGGGAGGTTTTGGTCTAGTGTGCGTGTTTGGAGAGCGCCATCGGAAAGGCGCTTCGCCGTTATCTCATCAGCTGCTACTGTTGTCTCTGTTATAGTGATGCTGCTGGCGTGGAAGCGAGGGTGCACTCACACGCCGCTCCGTGGTGGCCTCAGATTCATGCTCTGCAGCGTGGCTTTTGTGGTCCCTGCCCCGCACTGTCGGGCGGACTTTTCTGAGGATTAATACGCTTCGAGACGTACGCTTATGGATCTGCATATGCACATGTAGAGGGTGTGTCCTTTCGTTGCCTGCCTGCCAACCCTACCGCCAGGGTTTTATCAGAGTTGATGATGATACCTTCCACCAGTAATTTAACTTGCGGTGACTTGTGATGCTGGTGAATGGGTTGACAGCAATGCTGCTTGTCCTGTGAAGGCCAGCGCCCAAGGATCTGTAAAGCTGGAGGTGAAGCTTACAGGGGTCTAACTAGACAAAATGTCAGTCCCCAGGGCCCTTAGGTGTCCTTCCTTTGTCCTACTGTCCAGCAGCTGTAGGAGTCACCGACTCATAGCCCTGAGGCTGTTTCAGTGAGATATGGTGGATGTGAATGTAGCCCTGAGAAGGAAGGTGCAAGATTTTAAGCTATTTTTCATAATCTTTGAGAAATATGACTGTGGTGACTGAATAGACACTGGTCATTGTAATTCATGAGATGAATGTCTGAGGTTTTGCAAGATATTGATTTTTTGCTCTATTGCTTCTTTGCCTCTTAAAATGCCTCAGTGCTTCTGGTGGATCTGTGTCTATCAGCTCTACCTCTTCTTCCCACCTAAGGAGAAAAATGGATGTTTTCCATTTTATCTTTATTTTCAATCAGAGCAACGTGGGACTTGCCTTATGCCTGTTTTTAGAATATGTGAATATTTTTTTTTCCTAATTGACCTAAGCACTGGGAAGGAGTTCATGAGCTTTAACACTTTGTTACCTGGGCACTATAACCTGAATGGCAAGACGTAACCTTAGTATAGCATGGGCTGGCTTACAGACTCTCACTGCTGCTGTGCAGCTCATGGTGAGTTTGTGTGTGCAGAAGAAAAGGCAAGGGAGAAGGTGCTGTACAGGCACCCCTCTGTGCCTTCTGTGTGTGTGCTGGTTAAAGTTTATTCCAGTTGGAGCCTGAAGCAGCAGTTTTGGTTTATGACTTGGTTTCTTTAATGCCTTAGTGGATTCACAGCACCTGAGTGGGAAAGTCTTTTTTTTTTTTTTTTTTTTTTCCTGGCTGGGACAGGTATAGTTTTTATCATCCATGTGATTTTCAGGGTTCTTACGGCATTCTTATGGCACGAGATAAATGATTAATCACTTTAGGATGTGCTGTATGAGGTCCAGGGAGTCCTTTCAGGCTGGCTGTTCAGGGGAAAGCTCTCCCCAAAACCTCACTGTGTTTGCAGTCTGGCTTGTAAATTGTTGTGGGGCTCAGCTGTGTTGATGTTCACACAGGTAAGCTTAACTGCCTTATTCTGAAACAGAAACTTGAAACCACTTATGTATACTCCTTTCTTTACCACTAAAACAAAAATCTGAAGCAATGAAACACTAGCTGATAAGCTGTCCAGGGAGAAGGATAACAAGTGCATAACCTGCCCATTGGGTGTCTTGGCCAGATGGCATTTGCTGCAAGGGGTGAGGATTGGGCGTGTGATACATCAAGTAAGCAAACAAAGCAGCTCAATTTTAATCATGTATTTTCACACAGAACAAATTTGGGAGGAACAACCCAGTCTTTTAAAAGCAAGTTTAAAAAAACAACCCACTAATGAATTGCAGCAATAACAAAATGGTGCTTCTACCAATGTCATGAAATTGTGGCAAATGTAATACAGAGTGGCATGCTACACTCTATATGTATGCAAGCCTATTAATGTATGGAAGCTAAACCTGGAAGTTGTTTAAGTTTTTATGTTGCACTGTTACTGTAGTGATGAATTGACTGTAGAGTCTCACTTAATCTATACATAGAGTGATTGACTGTCTAGTGAATACACTGGCATTGTTCATAGGACCCCTTCAACTTGGTTCTGATTGAATAGTATTTTGTTAAATAAAAATATTTTATGAGATTTCCTCTGTGGCCGTTGTTTGTTTTTTATTTTGATACCTTGCAAATCTGGAGCACTGCTGGGGCAGGGAGATAACACATGTATCTCTCTTGCATAAAAGGAAAAAACACAGGATGGATAAACAAGGCAAAAAAGAACCAAGTCTTAAGAAAGAAAAAAAAAAAAAGACTGTGGCTGTTGATTGCTTTGTGTAGCTTTGCAGAACACTGTTAAAGAAGAGGTGAAGTTTCAGTGACGTGAAAATAGTAGCCAGGTACGTGGGAAGGCACAAAGTAGTTCTGGGGGTGTCTTTGCATCTGGCAATAAAGAGTGGTTCTCAAACCAGCAGTATACAAAGATGGTTAGATGTCAAGATTTTCTAAATATGTTAATTTCCCAAAGGACCCGCCTTATAAACATATCTGTAGCAAAGATACAATACATTTAGTAAACTTTGTAGCTTCATCTACATCCTGTTTTAGAAATCAAATACATATCCTGTGTTCGTGCATGGAACAATTACATGCGACAAATGCTGCTTCTACAGAGGAGATGGGGGGGTGTTGACTCTCGATAATAAATATCAACAAACTGTAGAAAATAAGTTGCAATATGGGCAACCCCTTTCTCATTCCTCCTCCCGCCCCCATTATCATCAATCCACCATTATTTCTACCCTGCACCTCAATCTTGTCTCAGAAAATAGGGCTGTTGCTTTACCAGATTGCTCTGCCAGATGTTGGATTACTCTTAATTTGGGGCTCTTGTCTCATCTGCTGAGCACTGCTGCCATCCAGGGGCTTCTTGACTATGCAAGGATTAAAATCACTCTACAAAGCAGGAGGGCTTTGTAGGAGAGATGTAACGTTACCATTGAAGACTGGCACGAGCGTCTAATCTCTGCGGCGCTGCTCAAAGGGGCTGCACGGAGAATCCTGTGCCAGCTCTTGCTGCCGGGAGAAGAAGGTCTCCATGAGCCGTGGTGCCGCTCCTCGCTCCTCCCATCACGCGCTCCACGCGGGCAGCGAGCGCTGACGAGGGAGGCGCAGCCCCCGTGGAGCAGCCTGGCTCCTGCGTAGCGATCCAGCGTGCGGCCTGTCTTGAAGGAGAGGGGATAGATGCGCCGCGCGGCAGGGGCGTCTCCCCGGGATGCTGCGGGCTGCTCGAGGTGAGTGTTACAGCTGGATCCGTGTAAACTGCGGAGAGATGCTATACTGATGTCCTGAACTTTGTCATAGGATATTTGTCAGGGGGAGAGGCCGGCGATGGTCTTTTTTTTCTTTCTTTCTTTCTTTCTTTTTTTATCCACAATTATTATGTGCAGCTCTCTCACAGGTAGCAACACTTGAAATCCTAGGTTTACCATTAAATAGGTTAACAAGCACAGTTGTGCATTTAGACTGAACTGGAAATATCATGAAATTATTATTATTATTATCAAACACTATAGCTTGGTCTTGCAGCACCAGGCTCCACTTCTCATGCTACAGGGAAATAGGATTTATTGCAAGTGGGAGAGAGCACCTCTTTTGAATGAAAGCGATGGTAGTGACTCGTAAAACGGAATATGGTCTTACAGTAAAAGCACAGCATATGGAGAAGTGGGGATGGCATCAAAGCTTAGCTCGTTTTAGTCTGCTCTGAAGTCGGCAAAGCCTGGGAGGTTGGGTAAATCTGAATTTCAGTGTTTAGTCTTTAAACATGTGATAAATATATGACCTTGGGTGAGTTGGGCCGGAGATGTTGCCAGCAGGTGCCATGTTCCCTTGGTACATATCAAAGGGAGTTCTTCCACCTCTCCAAAAACAGCATTTCTCCCTCTCGCTGTAGGATTGGAAGAAATCCCGAGGTCACAGAGAGCAGACCGCAGGAACTGTTAGCGGCCACCACATCGCAGAGCCCTGTGTAACCTTGCTGAGCTGTGCCTGGGAATGGTTTCGTTATTTGCCGCTTACTCCTTCGAGTGAAAGGTTAGTTCCAGCCTCGCTGCCCGGAGAGTCTGAAGGTTTCAGTGTCCAGGCTAAACTTACTTAGGGCTGGTTTCTGTCCATATTGTCTTCACTTAACGTTAATGTTGCAATGCAGTGGGCACTCTGCCCCATGAGATGGGCAGTCTTCTGACTGCCAGAGTCTCCCCACTGAAAATTGCATTTTTTTGTGTGCTAGGAGCCTTTCACAAATGGCCAGAGAGATTAACCCGCTGTTCAAATATTGCTTCTGCTTTGTTAAAGGCAGGTGGTGGAGCTTTCTGCCCTTCACCAGGCATGATAGGAGCTTAGCAACAACAGCTCCCGCTTAATGCGGCTGATAACGTGCGCCGCGCTTTGCAGGAAGGCCGTAATGAGCGGCTTACTTTCGTGGCCAACCGACTTGTCATGCAGCTCCTTTTCAGCACAGAGGTACTGTGTGTACAACCTCGGCGCGTTATTTGATTTTTTTTTTCTTTTTTTCTTTGTTTCCTAGAGGTCTTTGTATCCCTTGCTCGCTTGCTGTAGCGAGTATAGAGCCTTTCCATTCGACTTCCATTGTCATGTGTGTGTCAGTTCCTTGAAGCAGTTCAGTTATTTATTTAGTGATCTTTTTTATTATTAATATTATATATATATATAAATTTATAATTGTTTTTACATTTCAAAGTCCTGGAATGTGAGGCATGATTAATGCAGAGAGGGGGAAGTCTTCTGAGGGGGGAAAAGAAAAATCTGATGAATAAAAGCGCCTGTTTTGACACTCGTAGCTCTGAGCTCATCAGCGCCAACCTGCTCAGACTGCTCGTTATCAACGAGACCTGAATAATACAACACAGGAGCGGCTGACACGCCAGCCGCGACATGAAGAGCTGCCGGCGCCAAACAAATGCATAATTGAATGATATCAAAGCATGTCTTCACAAGAAAGAACTAAGTGAAACGTTTAAATCACTAGTAGCAATCTGGAGCGCATGCGGATGCGCTGGTGCAGATCACTGCAGCCAGGGGTGCGACCATTAGTAATTTTGGGGTCATGTTTGAAAAATTTCTACCTCTTGAGAACCAACGGTCTTGGGACCCGGGCAACGGCCGCGAGGCCCCGCCCTGTCTCCAGGGCAACGGGCCCGCGCCGCCGTTGCCTGGGCGACGGCGGCGGGCGCAGGTTGGCCCCCGGGGGGCCGCGCCGGGGGGGCG